GTTTGCCGATGGCAAGATGATCAAAATTCAAATCTAAATTATTTGTCTATTTAAAGTACTACATTTATTAGAAATTTTATTTAGTCTAAATACAGAAATCATAAAAATGACTTACAAGAGTTGCAGGATGAATATCCAGAAACAACTGACCATCTGGTATCAGGTTACACGGTATTAGCCTCCCGCGAATATAAAACTCGGCATGACATCTCGGTCTCACCCTTTCATTGTCAAAACGGGTTAAATGTAACCGTCTTTTCTTCTCAAACAGCTTCTTCTCCCGCACTTCCCGTCTGTGGAACTCCCTTCCCTCTACTTGCTTCCCCGATAACAATAATCTTCAAGTATTCAAGTGTAATGTCAATCGACATCTGACACCGTGAGATTGTTCCCTGTTTTTCTCTGTATCCTTTCCTCAAACAAGTTTTTTTTTATTCTTGTTTCCAATCATCTGTAACCCTTGCATGCTAGTGGCACTCCTGCCTTGCTTGGGGTGAATTAAAAAAAAAAAGAATATATATATATATATATATATATATATATATATATATATATATATATATATACAGTAGAGCCCGGCATTGCCCGGGGATGTAACAATAAGAGATAGATCAAGTATCGACCATCATAAAGACTGAAAAATAAAATTGACGAAATTATTGTTTAAGGTTGACGGACACGCATGTCTTAATTAGTTTTTTTTTTTTTTTTTTTTTCGAATTGGTCAAACCCAAGCTCAAACAAAAACATTGTTTTCAATCGTTATGAGTCTACCGATTGAATAGAATTTTATTATAAACAATTGTCTTGTAAATGGAATTTTTAAAGCATTCTGAATGTAAAAATAAAGAAAAAAGTGTGCAAGACAATAAGAAACACTACCTGCCCCCCCAAAAAGTGAAGTTTTGTTGAAATCGGTTGAAAAATGTAGGAAATCCGATCCCATATATAAACGCGCGCGCGCGCGCACACACACACACACACACACACACACACACACACACACACACACACAAACAACCTGGGTTTTATAATAAGCATAACTCGATATGAGTTGTCCCCCTTTCATTCTCGCGACAGCGATGCCTCTTAATCGTGTTTTCAAATTGATTTCGTGCAAAAACAATTGTGTTTTTTCAATTTTTGGCACTGTCAGAACCACCGCAAGGTAATTTTACGTAGTCCTGTGAAGTTTTGTTGAAATTGGTTGAAAAATGTAGGAAATCCGATCCAATATATAAACGAACAGACACACACACGCACAACCTGGGTTTTATAATAAATATGATGTCACGGTCTCGTCTACTTAAACAGCTTCTTCTTTCACACTTCCCATCTGTTGAACTCCCTTCTTCTTACTTGCATTCCCGACGACTATAATCTTCAAATATTCATGTGTAATGTCAATCAACATCTGACATCCTGAGCGTGTACCATGTCCTTCTCTGTATCCTTTCCTCAAACATGGTTTTTTATTTATTCTCAATCCTCTGTAACCCCCTGTGCGCTAGTGGCAATCCCACCTTGCTTGGGATGAATTGCCTTAAAAAAATGACAAGGTGGTCAATATCTAGACTTTAAAATCTACGATTTTCATAAGAAAGAAACTGCAAAAAGTGTTATGAACATCACCCAGATCAGGCTACAGAGATAGAACCTGTAAGAATTTTATTGAATTTTACACAGAAACAGAACAATCAAAGCTAATCGACCAGACATCGTGATCAAAGACTACAAAAACAGAATTTGTTTTCTTATTGACATGGCAGTTCCTACAGACTGTAATGGATCTTCAAAAAAATATCAAAATAAAAGGATCTTAAAGTGGAAAATGTAGCAGAAGAAAACAATCAATGATTCCATTTGGAGCCCTGAGTTTAGTTAGAAAAGGTTCCGATAGACTCATTGAAGGAATCCTTGGTAGGCTATGCTTTAAAGAAATACAAAATAATTGTTCTCACAAAGTATGAAGGACTTTATCTTTATAAAATGTCTGTCATCTTAGGTTGTTTATTTTTATTGATTTTTTTTCTCTTTTTATTTATTTTCTTTCTTTTTTCTTTTTCTTTTTAATCGTTCTTTCTTCTTTTGCTTATCTTTTTCCTTTTTCTTTTTCATTCTTTTGTTTTTCTTTCTTTCATTGTTTCTTTCCCTTTACCTTTAAATCTTTTTTCCCTTTTCTTTTCTTTTTTTCATTCTTTTTCTTTATTCTTTTTTCCCCATTCTCTTTTATTTCCTTTCTCTTTCTTTCTCCTTTTTCTTCTCTCTTTCTCTTCTTTTCTCTTTTTTATTCATTTTTCCCCAGTCTTTTTCTTTTTATAATTATTTTACTTTCTTTCTTCTTTTCATTTCTTTATTTTTCTTCCTTCTTTCTTTTTTTCTCTGATTTCTTTTTTCGTTGTCTTTGTTTTCTTTCTTTTTCTTTTCTCTTTTTTATTTTTATTTTTTTTTTCTAGTTTTACTTGTTTACATTTTCTTGTTTTTAATCGGTATCACCCCA